TTCGCACGCGCCAAGAGAAAGGCAAGCAAGATGGGGTCTACTTGACACAAAAAATGCAGGGACAATTTTGTCCCGGGATTTGTTACGTTAAGAACTATCAACATCATGATTTACTTGCGACGAAATTGCAACATTTTTTTCGGGATAATTGTCTTTTAGAGCAGGTACAAATTATTGCCCCAATTATTTTGTAAAATTTTGTCTCGGCAAATTTGGCATCTTTGAAGTCAAAAGGTCATCTTTTTGGCCACACAATAATTGTCACATCGCCTATTGAGAGTGGAGTATGAAAGGGAAGGGGAGGGGAGCTGGAGCTGGAATGGCGCGCTCTGTCGTAGCTGGGTCGCTCGAAGGTCCTGTCCGTCCGACCCGACCAGCCAGGGGAACTCAAAACACGTCACCTCATATCGTGGACGGCAGGGTGGGTCTTTTGCATTATCCCGGCCTTCAATAAGCCCAAGCAATCCGACCCTTGTTCGCCGTCATGGAAGAGATGAAGGGTAGCAAGGGTAAGGGGTAGTAGAAGTAGCGGGGCAGGGCGGGCCGTTCTAGAGAGACAGAGAAGGAGCCTGCAGCTCCAGCAGCGGACACGGGTTCCAAGTCGCTTTACGCTGGCCGAGACCCCCTCCACCCTATACACCGCGCCCTGCCTGCCGCGCGTCAAAAGGACTCGCGGCGCTGGCGCCACGCGCGCCCCGCTGCACAGCACAGTCCGTCGCGGCCCTTTCATGTGGGCCCGGCCCGCGCCGCCCCCGCAGCACTGCTGCGTTCCGCGCGCCCGCCGCGGTTCGGGACCGCTCGCCACGTGCGCTTTGGCTTTTCCGCGGGTAATGAAAGAAAATCAAAAAAAAATAAATAGAAAACAATGTGGTTTGGTCGGGCAATGCGGCTAGCGGGCCCGCAGCGCAGGACCATGCAGGAGGACGCCCAGTCAGTCAAGGGCTGGAGCGGTGACGCAGTGCGAGTCCGTTGAGCTGTTGAGCACGCCGCGCACCGCTTAACGGGCGGATGAGCCTGGCAGGGCGGCGGCGCGGGGAGCCGCCGCGGTATTTGCCGTGGGAATTAAGGGGGGCGGGCCACCATGCGTGGGGCTGCCGTGTGCTCCGTGCGGCTCCGTGTGAGGGCTCCGGGACGCGCCTCGCATCCGCCTCGCATCGCCCCGCCCCGCCCCGCCCCGCCCCGCCCCCCTCCCAACCGCGAGCGCGCGGTAAAATGGGGCAAATACTGGATGGACCGCGACGTGTGTTGTGCTTTAGAGGTCAGGGTGGCTTTGGCCTGGTCGGCAGAGCCGCCGGCTCAGAGCTGCTGCCGACCTACTGACTGAGCCGTGCTGACGGGGTGGGGGCGGAGGGGGTAGGATGAAGGCTGCGGAGGGCCCGACCGCGGGGCGGACTTCCTTAACATGGAGACAGATGGCCGGAGATAATTCTTGATCCACGAAGGAAAGGCGGAAGCGGGCGGAAGAGAAGCAGATGCGAGGGGCGGGGCCGTCGGGGCCGGGCACGGCCTGTGGGGGGCGGAGAATAAAGCATGACAACCCGCGGCTCAAGGGAAAAAAAATGTTGTTCCACGTTTTTTAGACAGTCCCTATTTTAATCATGTTCAGCGAGAGGTGCGTGGGCCGGGCTGTGATTACATTCTGGTGTCGGTGATGAAGACGTTGGCGGGAAAAATAAACAAGCTCACTCGCATAGGAGGGAGAAGCGGCGGGTGCTCTTCTCCGCTTCCCTCTTGGTGCTGGTCGCAATACAGCTTTTTTTTTTTTTAAATAAATGACTTTGTTAGAGAGGCGGCACTGCCACCATTCAGTTCAAGGAGATGGAGAGTGGTCCTTGCAGCCATATTGAAAAGGATTTAGACAGCCGAGGGGGGAAAATGCAGATGAGGAAATTGGGCAAGGCGCGGAGTTGACGCGCAGGTGCAGGATCTCAATTACATGTTATCGATGGTAGCTAGGGACCCTCGTAGCACATGAAACTCTGAAAACGTTATCTGAACTTTCAATTGTTCGGTAGTTCGTTGCTGCAAGTAAATAGTCGTGTAGTAGTGTAACCGGACAGTATACATGGAAACCGCAATAAGCTTACAATACGTGGTCTTCATTGGGCCACTGACCGACAATGTCATGGCTCGCTATGTTGTGTAAATAAGTGCACATTTAACTCAAAAATGACTACGGTTTTTGAAACGTGCTCTTTTATCAGGCACTTTGCCATTGCCACTTTAATAAACAAAATTAAAACTTCCCGAAAAAAAGCCCGAATCAAAGTAAATCATTTTTCCTCTAATCAATGGCAACTGTTTTCTGGGCACCGAGACGTTTTCGCGCCAGCGGCGGCACACGGAGCCAATCAAGAAGATGCAAACCTCTCCTCGTCTCCGCTGCCACGCGACGCCAGGCGACGCCAGGCGACGCCACGCGTCAGCGGCGAGAGCGAAAACAAACATCCGCCCCTTGCCTCGCCACACTCCGCCCCCGCCCCAGCCCCACCTCGTCAGGGCTGTGCGCTTCTCCGCGCCTTATAAGCGCGGCGTCGGGGCGTTTGTACCGCACCGTTGACTTTACCAGGTGCTCGGGAGGTCTCTGGCGGAACCTCCCCCCCTCCCCCCTCCTTACCGGCTACCGTCCCGTCCCCCAATCACGATAAGAGGGGCAGAGGCCCCGCGCCCCCCTCTTGCCGGCAGCCGCCGCACCGCCGCGGTCCGCACTTCGCTGCCCCCGTCACGGCAAAGGCGGTGAGGGCATCTGGCTTGATCGCTTCCGGGAATCGACGCCTTTGGAACAAGGGGGGGTCGTCGAGTTGGGTCTTGGGGTGGGTTCTTTGGGAAAGAAAGGGGGCGGGGGCATACCAAGGAGGAGCGAAGCGAGTGGCCATGCGACCAGTGAGCGAGATTCCTCTCCCCAGCCCTTCTCCCTCCCCTGCCTTCCTGCAGGCCACTTTTCATTCGCTTCTCTCCCCATTTGAATCCGCCTTTCATTATGCTGCGTCTTTCATATTCAATTAGGAGACGACCAGAGCGCCACTCGCAGCACCGAGATCAGTTCGCCTCTCCGTTGTTTTCTTTTTTTTTTCGTGCCATCCCTTATAGATATTTCACTTTTCGCAAAACGAGATCACTGCTGAGGAGGTATTTGGCGACAAGGGCAGTGGAAGCAGCGACTGTCGTCGCATTCTTGGGACCAAGTTTCGCGGACTGTCCGGTCGTAGGGATCGGAATGAGATGAGCAGCAGTTTATTGGGTCCCTTTGACTCGGCCGGCCTCAGCGCGGTGCGAAGGAGCCCGAGTCTTGCGCGCGGATCTTCAAAGAGATGATTCAGGGGCTCGGGCACTGAAGTCCATGGCCAGGCCATCTCACGCTTCTCCACCTCAGAGTCGAAGGGGATAGGAATTCACATGCGACGTATGCCCGCCCCCGCCTCCCCCGTCCCTTAATGCAAGCATCTTACGCGGTAGGAATGTGCAGTATGCAGACCATGCGGACCGCCGCCCTTCTCACTCCCCCTTTCTCCGATCCGCAGATGATCAAGATGATGGTGGTGGTGGTGGCCGGCTACACCATCTGCTGGCTCCCG